TGGAGACAGAGTCTCACTCTGTTGTTTAGGCTGGAGTGCAATGGCGCAATCTCGGGTCACTGCTCAGGTCACTGCAAATTCTGCCTCCCAGATTCAAGTGATTCTCCTGCCTCAGCTTTCTGAGTAGCTGGGACCACAGGTACTCACCACCATCCCTTGCTAATTTTTGTATTTTTAATAGAGACGGGGTTTCACCATGTTGGCCAGGCTGGTATCTAACTCCTGACCTCAGGTGATCCGCCTGCCTCAGCCTTGAAAAGTCCTGGGATTACAGGCATGAGCCACTGCGCCTGGCCTGATCTGGCAATTCTTATGGGTATATGCCAAAAATAATTGAAAGCACTACCTCCAACAGATATTTGTGCACTCAGGTTCACAATAGCCAAAAGGTGGAAACAAGAGATGAATCATAAACAAAATGTGGTATACACATACAATGGAATCTCATTCATCCTTTAAACGGAGGAAGATTCTGACACATACGACAATGTGAATGAACCTTAAGGACATTATGCTAAGTGAAATAAGCCAGTCATGAAAGAACAAATTCTGTGTGATTCCACTTATACGAGGTTCCTAGAGCAGTCAAATCCAGAGACAGAAAGTAGCATTGTGGTTGCCAGGAGTTATGGGGATGGAGAAGTAGTGAGTTCGTGTTTAATTGGTAAGGAGTTTCAGTTTGGGAAGATGGAGAAGTTCTGGCGATGGATAGTGGTGATGGTTGTACAATAATGTGAATGTATTTAATGCCACTGAATTTTACACTTGAAATTGTTAAAATAGTAAATTTTATGTTATGTGTATTTTACCAAAATTAAAAATCAGCTGGGCGTGGTGCTTTTGCCTGTAATCCCAGCACTTTGGGAGGCTGAGGCGGGCAGATGACCTGAGGTCAGGAGTTCGAGACCATTGTGGCCAACGTGGTGAAACCCCATCTCTACTAAAAATACAAAAATTAGCCAGGCATGGTGGCACGTGCCTGTAATCCCAGCTACTTTGAAGGCTGAGGCAGTAGAATTGCTTGAACCCGGGAGGTGAAGGTTGCAGTGAGCTGAGATCATGCCACCGTACTCCAGCCTGGATGACCGAGTGAGACCGTCTCAAAAAATAAATAAATAAATTAGATCAGGTACAGTGACTCACACCTGCAATCCCAGTCCTTTTGGAGTGTGAAGTGGGCAGATCACTTGAGCCCAGGAGTTCAAGACCAGCCTGCGCAACGTGGTAGAACCCCATCTCCACCAAAACAAAACAAAAAATAGTGGGCATGGTGACGTGCACCTGTAGTCCCAGCTACTTGGAAGGCTGAGGTGAGGGGAGCATCGCGTGAGTCCAGGAGGTCAAGGCTGCAGTGAGCTGAGACTGCCCAGCGGTACTGCAGTCTGGGTGACAGTGCCAGACCCCGTCTCAAAATAAATAAATAAAATTTGTTAATTACTTAAATAACCGATGATGCAGAAAGGAACAAACAATCACAAACCCAATGCCAGTCGCTGCGTTTGGTGCCCTGCTTACTTTTCTCTTGTGAACAGCAAAGTGTGGAAGTGCCGCTATGTACTCAGTTGCAACATAAGCTTTGAGGTCAGAGTCTCTCAGCTGTGAAATTCTGCTGGGTGCTGGGCGGTCGTTTAGGAGCATAATCCTCACAGTTGGAGAGGAAATGTTTTCTGGGGAAAATACAAGGCAGGAGTGGATTAAGCACTTGAGAAGAATGTGAGTTAGTGTTTAATTGATATGGAATTAAGCACTAATTAAAAATACAAAAATTAGGCCGGCGTGGTGGTATGCACCTGTGTCTACTTGAGAGGCTGAGGCAGGAGAATCACTTGAATTTGGGGAGATGACTTGATGGAACCCCGTGTGAGAAACTATTTGTTAGATGTGGGAAGGGGGAGAGGAGCAAAAAGATGGACCACAGGGTCTTCCCTGCCTTCTTGGACTCTCTCTGCAGCTCACGGTGGCCCCCACAGCTCCCCAAGGTTCTGGCCATATCCCCCGCCTTAAGGAGGAGGAAAGGAAGGTTCCTCTCATGCCTCAGACCTCAGCCCTGCACCCAGTCCACCATTCCCACCAGCAGTGTCAGGAAGAGGCTCTCACCAGCAAGCCAGCGCTCACCTCTGCTCCCCTCATCCACATCTCTATTGTGTCCAGGTTTCTGCCGATCAGACTGGGGATAGATGTGACGGTGACAGCTTCCCCAGCTTCCATCATAACCCCCCCCTTCAAGCCTCACTTCCCCACTTCTCCCCTTGACCACCCTAACTTCACCTCTCCCCTCCGCCTCTCCCCACTGGAAGGTTTATTGTTACCCACTCACCTTCATGACTCCACCCACTCACTTTCATGACTCCACCCACTCTCATGACTTCACCTACTCTGCTTCCATTTCAGTTGCTTGAGTGTGGGGCTGAGAGCTGAAGGACTGGATGCCCCCTTCTCCAGGACCTTCGGGGGCTTTTGCTGGGCATGTGCCCACCCACCCACTGTGACCTGTTGACCTGGTGATGTTCATTCCCTGGAAGAGGCCATCTCACTTGTTTCCTCTCTGGATTCCTCCTTGGAGTGTTGGAAGGTGAGAGGAAGTGAGGATCAGGCAGGGGCTGGGGCTGATAGACACCTGGGGAAGCCTTCCCATAGACAAACCCTATGCAGGAAGACTTTATCACACTCGTGGCTATGAGTTGGATCTTCTTGGATTTGCCTCAAGGCTTCCCTAAGAATCTTTTTCTTTTCTTTTCTTTTGAGACAGAGTTTTTGCTCTTGTTGCCCAGGCTGGAGTGCAATGGTGTAATCTCGGCTCACTGCAACCTTCGCCTCCCAGGTTCAAGCAATTCTCCTGCCCCAGCCTCCCAAGTAGCTGGGACTACAAAAATTAGATACCACGCCCAGCTCATTTTTGTATTGTTAGTAGAGATGGAGTTTCACCATTTTGGCCAGGCTGATCTCAAACCACTGATCTCAGGTGATCCACCTGCCTCAGCCTCCTAGAGTGCTGGGATTACAGGTATGAACCACCGAGCCTGGCCATAATCTTTTCTTTTATTAAGTGACCGTCTAAAATAGACTTCAAGTTACCTGTGGCAGCTGGTGACCCTACTGTTAGCAAGTAAGGAAAATAACCATCAGCTTCTTTATTCCCCAGGTGCTGGGTGGAGGGGAACACAGGCCAGAAAATACTACTACTAATGATTGTGATAAAGAGCTCCCCAGGGGCCAGATGTGGTGGCTCAAGCCTGTAATCCCAGCACTTCTGGAGGCCAAGGTGGGAGGATTGCTTGAGCCCAGGAGTTTGACACTAGCCTGGGCAACATGGCAAGATCCTGTCTCTCTAAAATATAAAAAATTAGGCATGATGGTGTGGGCCTGTGATCCCAGCTACTTGTGAGGCTGAGGTGGGAGGGTCACTTGAGTCTGGGAGGTCGAGTCTACAGTGAGGTGTGATCATGTCACCTGCACTCCAGCCTGGGCAACAGGGGAAGGCCTTGTGTAAAAAAAAAAAAAAAAGCCTCCCTGGGACCCAAGGAAGCTGCCCAGAAGTTTTCTAAAGAGGCTCCCTACTGCAACTCTGCAGAGGAACAGGCTATGCTGGTGCCCCTGCTTTAAGGATGCTTGCAGTTTGCTCCTGCTATCTCACTAAGATCTGCTGAGCCCTGCACTGGTGGCTCCCGCCCCCTCTCAGTGAAGACGCCAAAAAGCAGCAGCCAAGCAGCAGTCATGGCTGCCTCCCAGTGGCCCCAGCTGTAATCTGTTCAAGGTGCCCCCACCAGATCTCAGCTGCAGCAAGCAGATAGGCTTTAGCTGCCCTAAGAGCTGGCTCTGCAGCTGGTGACTCAGCGGGGGTTGGTGGGGGTTGGCCCTTGGGGCCTGAGGGGCCAGCACTGGTGACAACAAAGTCCAGGGGATGTTGTGCAGAAGACCGGAAGCTGAGTCCCCAGAACAAGCCCAGCAGCAGAACTACAAGTGAATAAATCCCCAGTAATTCCATTTATGCCACTGAATCCTCCCTGTGGGTTCAGAAAAACAGAACACTGCTTCATGCTTCCTAAAAATGCAGCCTGAACCAAGGTCTAAATTCCACAGCCAAGTGACCCCTCTTTCTCTTTTCTGCTACCTACCTTCCCCCCAACACACACACCCCCAAGTCCACAAGAACATCCAGAATGATGTGGGTGGAGATTTTCCTTTATTTGTTTTTATTTTGGAGAGGAAGGGCTAGGGCAAAGAGATGATGCCAGCACACCGGGCACCAGAATGGACCCTGCACATGCAGAATACACGGACACTCATGCTGGACTAGCGACTCAGCAAATATGCCCCAAGGAGAGAATGTCACCAGAGCTGCAAAAGCCCCCCCCCAACTTTTATTAGTTTTAAGACCCCCACCCACACCCACCCCAGGTCACCTTGTCATTCTCAGTAAGCAGACCTCCTGCCAAACTGGGCTTTTACTCCTGTGGGCTTAGCGCCAGAACCACCCCCAAATAAACAAGCACCCTCTGGAGTAAAAGGGAAATTGACAGGATGCTGGAATGCAGAGAGGTGGTACGCTTCATTTTTCATCATCCACCAGCTTGGGAGAAAGGCCGCCTTCCATCACACCAGTAAGAGGCGGGAAAGAGTGATTGGGCCCTTTCCCATCTCCCAGGCCTTGTGTAACAAGGCCCTGGCTGCTCACACTCCAGCCCTGCCTGACTTTAAACAAACCCAGTCCATAGCCTTGCACCTTTTCCCTTGGGAAAAAGACATTTGAGAGCTCACAGATATAGTGCTCAACCAATTATCCAAACCAACATCTTCTCTTGCTCAGCTTCTGTTCCACCCAAAGGTCTCATCCTGCTTCCCCAAGGGGATTTCTGATACCTGAAACCACCAAACCTGACTCTAGGCCTCCCCCACAATGTATGGGCCCCATGGAATGTATTTATTTCATTGCTGTAACCTCTCACCACTCAGCCTCCCTGCATTCCCCCAGAGTGGTCTTGGGTTTTTCTTGGCATCTCTCCCGGTGGCTTGCTGTGGTGTCCTGACTCGGAGGTGTCCAGGGTGGCCGGGGAAATGTCAAGTGCCTTTGCTTTCTGTCCTCTCCTCGTCAGCCGTCTGAGCGTTGCTCACAGTGCGAAGCTGCCCCTGGGCTGCAGGCTTCACCGACAGGACCAAGCGTTTGCGGAACGTCTCACAGAGCACGATGTACACAAAGGGGTTAAGGCAGCTGTTGGCGTAGCCCAAGCTGATGGCTGCGTTGTACAGGTAGACAAAGGTGAGGGTGGGGCGGCTGATGGACAACTGGGTCAGCTGTAGCACATAGTAAGGCGCCCAGCACACAAAGAAGACCAGGCAGATGGCAATGGCTGTGCGAGTCACCCTCTTTGTCCGCAGCCGGATGCTGCGCTGGGAGGCGGGGGCCACCGAGGACGTCATGCGCTGCAGGATCCTCACGTACGCAGCCGTGATGACCACAAAAGGCAGGGCAAAGGCCAGGAAAAACTGGTACAGGGTGAACCAGTAGAGGTCAGTGTCCGGGTTGGGCAGGCGGATGCCGCAGCCCACGGCACCTCCTGGGAAGGGGATGAGTCTGGCATAGAGCCACACAGGGGTGATGCTGATGAAGGAGAGGACCCACAGGAGGCAGATCACCAGGGTGGCCACAGAGGGCTTCCGGAACTTTGTGGAGGAGATGGGGTGGACAGTGGCCAGATAGCGGTCAATGGCCATGGCGGTCAGGATGTAGGTGCTGGTGAACTGACTGTTGGCATCCATGGCCGTGATGAGGGTGCACATGGTCTCCCCAAAGTGCCACACCCCGTTGCCCATGAGCTGGTGGATCATAAAGGGCATGCCCAGGAGAAAGAGGAGATCCACCACCGACAAGTTGATGATGAAGATGTCGGGGACATTGCTGCACCAGTGCAGCTTGGACTTCTTCACCACCGCAAAGATGACCGTGGAGTTCCCAACGATGCCCAGGAGGCAGATGGTGCCGAACACAGAAGGCATGATGATGTTGATGTAGGAGCTCCCTGTGCGAGAAGGGGATCCTGGGGACGGAAGGAGCAAGCGTCGGCCGTTTGACAGGGGCTCTGCTCTAAGAACTGGCATCCTGCCGGCATGCTCAGCCTCCAGCGACCCACCGTTCGTCTGGAATCCTCTCTCTCCATTCTCCCTCCCTTCACCGTTGCTAATCTTGTCCCCTTGCTCTCCTCCTCCATAGGTTTCCTGGTGAATCCTACCAGATTCCCCTGAGCCACCTGTCGGGGAAGGACACGACTCGCCTGCCTCCCGCAGGCACCAGAGGCGAGAACCACAGCTGTCTGCAGAGATTACTCCGTGCGGCCCGGCTTCACCAGGAAACCTCGTCAAAATAGCCAGAAGGACACAAAAGTAAGTGTGTGTGTGTGTGTGTGTGTGTGTGTGTGTGTGTGTGTACGTGCGCTTTTCTTATATGCAGCCCTGAGTGTTTCATTTTGGAGATACCTGGTTGGAAACTGTACTGATTCTTGGGCATCTCTGTGGGCGACTGTCTTGTAGAGGCTTGCCAGCTGTGCCCGGGTCAAGCCAGCAGCCCTCCCAGCCCCAGGCTTCCTAGCAGGGATTTCCTTGATTGGCATCTTCTGAGCCTGGGCTTCCCGAGTGGAGCAGAGACAGAAGCTGTGTGTTGCAGCTCAGCAGCCTGAAAAAAGGCTCCACATAAACCTTTCCTCTTTTCCTTCCTTCCCTTCTCCTTCAAAGCTGGAATCCCAGGGCATCGCAGCTCTGGAAATGTCAGGAAGCTTAATTCACCAGAAAAGTTAATCCCCTCATGGTTCCGTGAAGTCTTCCCTTCCCAGGGCCTCTCCCGGGGGCAGGAAGGATGCCTCAGACCTCATCACCCAAGTGTGAGTAAAACACAGAGGCTACCGGTGCAGGAGTGAGCCTCCTGCTGCCTCCCACATACCTCCCTCCAGCTTCTCTCGCTTGCTTTTCCAGCCTGGAATTTTTTCTCCCAAGCATCTTTGGAACCCAGCAGCGAGCTTTCCCCTGCTGCCTCGCGGCTGGCCCCCGTCTTTGCCATTCTGAACATGCCTTCGCCCCCTGCTCTGCTGCTGCCCGTCTGCCCCTGCGGGCCCCTGACCCCTTCACTCCTGCCCCTTGAGCAAAGCAGACCATGTATCTTGTCCCAGAGAACTGTAACAAAGTTTCCCAAGCAGTTTAGCTCAGGGGTGAAAGCTTCCCATTTCCCACCCGCAGCCCAGAGGAGGAAGGATTCCCAGTCAACTCAACTCACCTGCCGAGGTGAGGTTGTCGGGGCCATCAGAGGTATTGCTGGCATTGGGGCCAGTGGACAGCAGCGAGGCTTCCAGGTCCATCCAGCCAGTGCCGGTCTCCTGCTCCCCCAACTGAGCTGAGCTCCCCTCTGCCCACGCAGGCTGCGGCAGCCTCCAGCGCCCGCCACCTTGTCCCGGAGCGAAAGCCCCGCAGTCAGGAAGGGGGTCCTCCTCAGCAGCCTGGCAGCCTCTGCCGTCTCCAAGCCCAACTGCCCTCCCCACTCCCTCCTTCCCGGCTCCCACTGACATCACCTAGACACATTAACATTCGGAGGCAGATGCACATTA